GTTGTACCGTAGTGAAGGCTAGAAGCGCGAGCTCATAACGTTGGCAGCTGTCCTTAGTGCACGAGAGCTTGTGCGGCCGAGATGTGCCCTAGAGCAAGGAGCTCGCGCCTGTAGCCTTTCCTGCGGTACAACACAAGGTGAAGCTAGGGTGCCTTCATGTGCGCTTTGCTTAGGGTGGAGACATCTGGCCATTTTGTTCCCACTTCTACATTTATTTTTCTTCAGAAGCGCGTAAAAGAACGTGTCCCTGCACGGATCTGTGGCGCTGACTGCGCTATGGCGACATTTTGTTTTCGTCGATTTCTTTGTATTTTACCCGTGAGCGCGTGCTGTCGGCATCGGGTACTACAGAGGGTGGCATCACTCTAAACAGAAGGACATTGAGGCACCCTAGGTGAAACAGAGTATAGACGCTGTGCTACAAAACATAGAACGGGAGGCGAGCCGTGGGGGGAGAGGGGGTACTGCTCGTGGAAGCAGTGTCTATGGGCAGTTCCATAACTGAGCTAATCTAGTAACGTTGCCCAGTGACGATGTTTGAGACGAGCTCATAGGTTGGATCCGATCATTGCGTGAACACTTGATTTGGGCTTGCGATAATCAATAGCTTGATAAGCATTCGGATAGCGGCTCGTGCCCAATCGTTTGAGAGACAGCCCTAACAATGTTTGAAACTCAGCGCGTCTCCTGTGCATTGCCAGCCCCAGCGCGTTGCTATGATAAGCATTTGCTGCATATAATCGGCTTCAGATCACGTGGCCGGTGGTTCTGGCTGCGAGTCGAGAGGAAAAAGAAAAACGCTGCTCGTTTTTATTATTATTTATTTATTTATAATACATTATTAACTCATTCAGAGCATTGTGTAGGGGGGACATTTTCACATATACAAAAAGAAAGAACGCAAAGATTAATAATACACAAAACATGAGTACGAGTGTCCCTCAAATAGCACGTAGTGGTCACACATAATAAATACATTATGAAATGTTGTTGTTGTTGTTGATATTTTATTTGCATCAAATACAGAGTACATGATACTGGAGGCTTGTGGAAAAAGCGGTCACAAGACCAGCTTGAAGCAAAACGAAAGCATGACGAAAAACGACAATCATTTATCAATCATAACAAAAGAAGTGTAATTAAGAAAGAAACGCGAAAGATAAAAAAAAGATACGTTTATTTTTAAGAAATGTAGTGTGATGTCAGTAATTGAGTCTTTGGATTGAGGAAGGTTGTTTCATGTGGTACAGCTGAATTTATGAATGCGCTTGTTGAACCAGTGGGATGTTAAAAACTTTGGCTTTCAGTGGTGCGTGCGATAGGATGATTTATTGGGCTGTCTAAGAAAAGAAATTTTGTATAAAAATCGTCACAATACAACTTATGTATTATGCACATGAAAGAGACGGCACGACGCACTTCAAGAAAAGCAAATGGACAATGACGTTTGAGGACAGCACTTGCGTTAGAGGAATATGATGATGGTGTGAAGCGTGTTGCGTGATTTTGAACTGCTTCGATGCGAGTGGTTAGGTAGTTCCGATGGGGACTCCAGGTAGCTGATGAAAACTCTAGTTTTGGGGCAGACCTATGTTTTGTAAGCCAATTTTTAGAGATGATAAGGGGCTGTTTTAAGGTAACGTTTTATATGATCGAGAGTTCTCGATGCGTCAGATGTTACCGTGTTGAAAAAGGCGGCCCACTAAAGTTTAGATGTGAAATGGAGACCATGATACTTGTAAGAGGAACATGTACTTAGAGGTGACGTGCCTAAAAAAGCGTGAGACCTATAAGATAAAACGTTTGCGAGTGAAATTCGTCACCTGACATTTAGATTTATTTGGCATTAGCCAATCATCACACCAGTTAATAATGCGATCGAAATCATGCTGAAGTCGTAAATGGTCATGTATAAAAACTGTATAAAACTGTCGTCATCAAAGAAACGTAATCTGATGACAATGAATTGCAAATATTGTTAATGGAAATGAGAAATAACAAGGGACCCAGATCGTTTCTCTGCGGAACTCACGAAGATATATTAGTAATGTCGGACTGCAACTCACCACAAAGCACAAACCACGTACCGTAAACGAAGTGACAGAAAGTTGCGGATCGATGACAGGGTTAGGAAAGCAAGGTGAAGTGAAGAAAGCTTGGACAAAAGACGAATATGAGGAACACGATCAAATGCTTTAGAAATATCCAGGAATATTGCATCAGTTCGGGAGTTGGAGTTCATTTTAAGATGTAAGTCATGGGTAACTTCAAGCAGTTGTGCCTCGCAGGAAAGACTCTTGTGAAAGGCGTACCGTTGTTTGTAGCATGAGTTGTTGCAGTCTAAATGTGATGCAACACGTGAAAACATTATATGTTCCATTCTTTTGCACACAACACTAGTTAGGGAGATGGGACGACAGTTCTCCGCGAGGCGGCGATCTTCATCTTTAAAAAGAGGAACAACCTTTCTGATCTTTCACTCAACTGGGATGTGACTGGTGGACAAAGATTTTTGGAAAAGTAGACAATAATAATCGCTGGAGAAGGGGAACAACGGAGACAAAGGAGAAACACAAATCTTCAGACACTGACTGGTGCACCAAAAATATCCGCCTGATCCCGGTATCGAAACAGGGACCTCTCCATTTCCAGTGGAGCGCTCTACCAACGGAGCTAACCAGGAGTTACACGTCAGTAGAGCAAACGGGTTTTATCAGCTGCCACCAGTCTGACACCAACAAGGGTGAACGTGCTGCATTTTAAAGTTATAATAATAATGCAGTTACTGCAAAGCTGTTAGCGAGCTGAACATGAATGACAATAATATCCCTGAAAAGGGGGAACAAGGGGGACAAAGGACAAACACAAATCTCGAAACACAGCTAGAGGATTCGTGCGCTACCGACAGCCACTTATCTGTGTTTGGAGATCTGGGTTTGTCTTTTGTCCCTCTTGTTCCTCTTCTACAGTAAATATTATTGTCATTTTTTTTTCAGCTCACTCGCAGCTTTGCAGCAATCGCATTATTACAGAAAAGTAGGTTGAATATATCACTCGGTGGGTGGTTTCTATATTTAAGTACCTTTTAGAGTTACTGTATTTGAGCCGGCCGATGTGGTAATATTTAGGGTATCTATAATATTTTCGATGCGTTGTGTTGATACAGTGATAGTGCTCATAAACCATTAGTTTACGTAATTTATAGTTTCTCTCGTTGAAAGGTCTCCCTGCGTAAACATAGATGCAAAATAGTGGTTCATAACAACAGGACAATCAATATCAGAAACGTCTTCGCCTGCATGGGTAGTGAGACATATTCTGTTTGTTGTTTCGTTCGAAGCAATAAGCTTCCCAATTTTTTATGATTGTGTTTTAAGATAGATGGTATATTATGTCCACAGGCTTCTTTTTTTTTTAACTTACGAATGTGGTAAGCATATAGCTTAGCAGTTGAGGTGTACTTGAATCAAACAAGATGGTTATTGGCATCTTGTTTGGTTCAAGTAAACCTCTAGCTTATCTAGCTTTTTTGGGATATATATTTTACGAGAAGAAAACATAACGCGTGTTTCATAGATTATAAACGCCAGGGATTCATTCTAGGTGATATTGCTACAAAGTACAAAAATGGTTGCACCGCCCTTTTAAGGAAATCGCGAGAAACCTGGCGCGCGTAGCGCGGCGTGTTAGAGTGCATCTCGCGAAAACGATTCTTTGCGAGATGGGAGGGAGGCAGCGGCGTAGACTTTCCATTTTCCCGGGGGGGGGGCGGGGGCAGGCTGAGAAGTTCTCCGGGGGGGGGGGGGGGGGGGGGGGTGCTGCGCGTTACCTCTTTGCCAGAACTGGAGACTGAAGCTGACGAAAGCACGCTGGGATTCCATTTCCCATGTATTTTGTCAACAAAGGCAACTTGGGCGTTATTTTGTTTACATGCTACTACTAGAAGCTCGCTACATGGTACGTAAGCAGCGTCTCGGTAAGGATCATGGCCCAAGCCCGGGGGGGGGGGGGGGGGGAGCTCTGCCCCCTCCCCCCGGATCTCGCCAGGGGGGGCACAAGCCCCGATGCCCCCTCCCCCCCCCCCCCCCCCCCCCCCGAAGTCTACGCCTATGGAGAGAGGGATAGCTACAGGGTCACAATTCAAGATGCGAAATCCTGTTCAGGCGCTTTTGTCGCGATGACGAAACCAACCAAAGCAACGAGTGAGCAGGCGGATCTAAGAGCATTCCGCAGTGTTTTACTTTTGCTGAACATAAAGTCAATGTGACTTTAGGTAAATAGAGAGCAAGATAAAAAAATAAAAAAAGACCGATCAAAACGACACGACAGAGGAGCTGCGTTTGTTGTCGTTCTCGAAGCTTTTCCTTGACGACTTGGTGCTGGATCGCCTTGGCCAGCTTGGCCGTCAGAAGCATATAGCACATTCTCCTTTAAGATAAGCAAAAATAAGCACCTTCTTCGATAAAAATGGACAACATATTTGTATATTGACGCTAAGAGTAGACTATTCATAATTTATTTTCAAACCTGTATTTCACGTAAGCTTTGTCTGTACGGAAGAGTCGCTAATGGCGCTGCTTGAGGTTTCGTAAAGCTATAATCTCTAGCAAGTTGCGACGTTTTACTAAAACTTGAGATCGCGGCTCCGCGACAGTACATCCAGTGGATGCTGTAGCGCATTGCGGACAGCGTAGCTGAAGTGACTGAACGATTTACTAAACTCACTATTGACGTGCTTCAAATTTTACCTCTTAAGTTAAAACCCCAAAGAACCACTTTCAACCACTCTAATAGTTTTTGATTAGAGAGTTTTGATTTTGGGAGAGGAACAGGAAGAACTCCTAATCGCCTGTTTGCGCTAACAGTATCGTGTGGTGTATGTGATTCACGAGTGTGGATCCGGATAGAGGGTCGACCAAGCTGCTAAGTAACTTCTTTCTTCTACCTCTTATTTAGCTAGATGTGCAGACTGTGTACATGTCTTTTATATCCGCCCTCAGATCTTGTCATGGCTGCTGTGACCAAGGACGACATGGACAACGACGGTGCCTTGTCACTCCACGAGTTTCTCCTGGCTCGCAAGACCCTGGGTAGCGGCATCAACAGGCTGGGCAACCTCGAACTTTGATGTCCACATCTGCCGGCGTGGTTTTCTGCACTACAAAAAAGAAATACAGCTTTTGACAGCACAATTTCAGCTACGAGTCGCAGTCATTGCCCTTGACACTATATTTGGACAAGTATAACAAACTAAGACAGAAAGCGGTAGATTACTTCCAAAAACCCCTTTACGCAACACTGGGCGCATTGCTTTATGGGACCTCTTTGGCCATTGAAAGGACTGGCATTTTTTTTAGTTTCCATTCCCCCATTGACAAAGTAGTGCATCTCAGCACTGCATTAAAATAAAGTCAGATCTCACTTGTATTGCACCCATTCATCTTCGTGAGAGCCCCCGTTGAAACACGGACCTCCAGCGTCCGTAAGGGCCTACCTAAGCTTGACGGGGGTTAGGAGGACGCCCTCCCGCGTCCCGTACCTTTGTGGTAGCCCGCTACACCCGAGAGTGCAGCATGACCCTTCCAGCTTACGGATCATTTTAAGAAGCCTACCACAATAAACGGACGATGGAACAGAATGACTGGCCCTGTCTACTCCTTACATCTGGCAAAGCCGTCCCAAGTTTACCTGTGCACAAACTCCGCCACGTCACCCCCCCCCCCCCCCCCCCCTTCCAGAAATAATAGAGTGCCTTAGCTTTTATTTGAATCGGTAGGCAACACCTAAAGTACTATAAATTTAAGGGAAGTCTTATATTTTAAACTCCCAGCACTGTATATAGTCGTTAGAGAATGTCGTAAAGTGAAGTTGGCAAATCGAAATCGAAACCTAGTGGCGAACTAGTACACAAGATGCTTTGAGCGGCATTACGCCACTAGGGTCGCTTCGATTTCAAGAAAACAAATATACTCAAAATCTAAAAAATAAAATAAAAGCTCGTAAACATTTTGGATAGATCAAAGATTATGAGGCGGAGTAACGCTTAATATTTTTAGCACCTTGAAAATAATGTTCAAACTGATCAACTTCTTATTTTTGGGGCGACTTTAAGTGTGTTTGTACAGGGCATGACAGAGCGAATGGGGCGCGAAATAAAGGCGCTAACAGGGAGTTTTTTTGTTTTGTTTCTTTTCATAACATGGTCGAACACAGTGAGAAGTTGGTGCACCTTGCGTGTCAAGCTGACGAGGTTACAGTATGCGCATTTTCGAGGTGCGAGGTACGTGCTTAGAAATGCGTGTACTGCCTTGTGATAGAGCGGACATTTCTATAAACCTTGCCAGAGGGTGCAAGCAGCATGAGGTTGATAACGTGTCCTTTAGTGATCCTGCTCTTGTATTCTTTTACGCTATGTTTCTTAAATAAACGCCGAAGAAGTCTGTTTGGGATTTATAGAAGTGTATATGCAAAGCTTCTAAATAATGAATGTTTCGTAAGAACGGCTCACAGAGATCTTGAAGTTTTGGGAGGAGCTAAAGGGGAAAAGTTCGACATTAAATAGGAATTGTTTAAACAGGAAACGGAGTTGACCCACGTTGACGTTTGGGCCAGTTGGTATTTCATGGTTAAAAGCTTAAAACAGTGCAGAAACACGGGCAACTACGCCAAATAAATATATCGCTGTTTTTCGTCTACCTTCTCGTTCTTGACTGTTTCTTTGTGCAGTTTTTAAAATACGAAGAAAAGAACAAAGCGAGCTGCATAAACGCACTGCTTCAGCAGCTTACGAGAGCAGAATGCACTTTCCTTGTTTGTTTTCTAACGAAATAATTAGTATAAAAAACCGCCTCGGGGTTCTCGATACCGAGCAGTATAAGAGGGTATCGTGCGAGCACGGTGGAGGCAAGTATCGCTCGGAGAGTTACATACGAAAAAGCCGATATGGGCAGAAAAAAAAACAAAAAAACATGAGTAGGAAGGAAGTCAGTGAGATCGATAAAGGAATGATCAAACGCGCTTTCGTAGAAATTGTAACAAGCTTTTCAGTTTCCGTGCACCCCAACACGATGATTTTTCGAAGGTTTTATTTACCTTTATTTCTGAGATTCGCAGCCGTTTTAAAAGAAAAGTTAGAACATTCTATTACGTTATTGGAGGACGGTGGACAATTTGAAGCGGGCAAAGCCCCAGGACCAGACTGTCTGGGCGCTGAGTTTTACAGAGCGCTTAAGGAGACATTTGCTTCTTTTTTGCACTGCCATTTAGTGAAGTGTACAGACTTAATGTTTTACCCCCGTCATTTTTGTGTACTCACGATATTTATACCCAAAAGTGTGAACCTCTCAGGACTTTATTTTGTAAATCGTACAGTCGGATCGCACTAAATAACGTAGACTATAAGGTACTAATAGCGAGTTTTAGTAGACCCAGTTTCTCCCTCCGCTAAGCCCCTGCGCTACCCGGAACTCTACAGCCAGGGCCATCGGCACGCAGGCGCAGTGGCGGTTTCCTCCTTAGCGGAGGGGAAACACAGTCTACTAAAACTCCCTAATGAAACTTTTAGCGGAGTGTTTGCAGAGTGTTATAAACATTATCGTCAACCCACACCAGACGTGTAAAATAAATGGAAGGAGCATTGTAACAAATGTGCGTGTCGCCCGCAAGATTCTGGAGTGTTGTGATTCTTTTGTGTGAAGAGTTGCCATGTTACAGGTCGACGTAGAAAATCCGTTGGACCCCGTGTCACGCGAAATTATTATTTAAATAATAGAACATGTTAGTTTGAGTTTGTGCGACGGCGTACGCATGGAGTAAAAAAATTGCGCCACTAGTCTTGTTGTAAACAAGTGTGTAAGCGAACGTATTTGCCTTTTCTCTTTGGTGCGACAAAGGCTGTCCACTTTCGCCTCTGCTTTTATTTTTTTTTATTGTATTTTTCTGGAGCCGTTTTGTTTAAGTATTATTCAGAATGGTTTTATTCGTGGGTATTAGTTGTTTGGAAGCTACGGAGGTGCGTATTTTATCGTACGCGGATGACGTGACAAGTAGCTCCGTCAACTGGGATAAGTGTTTGGGTCTTTGGTACGTCGATTAGCCTTCAACGCCGGTTGTTTGCAGGAGAAAGCATAACTGTCTCATGGAGCGAACCAACGTCATCAGCTTTGAAGCCGGTACTACAGTTAGACTAAAAATTAAAATTTGGGGGTTTTACGTGCCAAACCTACGACGGGCATCTGGCACGCCCCAGCGGAGGACTGAGGAATAATTTCGACCACCTGGGGATCTTTTGACGTGCAACCGAAAGCTCGGTTACACGGCGCCTTCCCCGCAAGGCGACGCAATAAGCCTCCGTCATATTGCGGGCACCTCGGTCGGGATTCGAACCCGCCACCTGGGGATCCGTAGGCCGGCGCTCTCGACCTCGGAGCAACCGAGGCGGCTTTACAGTTAGACTGTGTGGGGATAATCTAACCCTTGATCCCTGCATTACAGTCGCGCACTATCCGTTGCCATTGCCTGAAGATGCGTTCGCGTCATTAGCAGGGGGCACGATGTTCACAGTGCTTGATTTGACAAAAGCGTACTTGCAACTCGAAATGGATGAGCAGTCGCAAGAACTATTGACCATCTACACACATCTGGCTCTCTCCCGTTCAAAACGCTTGCCGTTCCGGGTAGCTAGCGCGCCAGCCATATTCCAGTCTGTAATGGATCGGCTGTAGAAAGGGATGGAAGATACAGTGTGCTATCCTGACGACGTACTTATTGCGGGAGGAACAGAACGTGAGTGTTTGAAACGCACGAAGCAGGTGTTGCAAGCACTCCGTCACCATAGTATACAAGTAAATGCTGACAAATGCCAGTTCCTTCAAAGCCGGGTTCGCTATTTGCAAAAAGCGAACCCGGCTTTGAAGGAAAGCGTCCATCTCATGGCCCATGGGCCATGAGATTGACGAAGTCGGAATTCATCCGACTAAAGAAAAAGTTGAAGCTATCTCGGAAGCTCCGGCACCCACCTCGGTGACAGAGCTAAAAGCTCTTCTGGGATTATTATAGTAAATTTTTATACCAAGTTTTTGTCGGAAACGGCAACCGTTCTCGAGCCGCCGTATACCAGCTTCTACGCAAGGAGGCAAAATGGCAGAGCTGGCAGTAATGTAATTACTGTAATGAAATTACAGTAATTTAATTACTTGTTCCAGTAATTAGTAATGTAATTCATTACTTTTTGTAGCAGGTAATTTAGTAATGTAATGAATTACTCCAGCGACGGTAATTGTAATTAAATTACCTAATTACTTTTTCGCACCAGGCATATTTTTGTGTCCACAATACACAAGAGCGCTTTTCTTGTTATTTTACTTTTTCTTTTTCATCTACACCTTTTCCAAAAAACGCTCTTTGGCCTCCGCTATGTTGCTGATGCTAATGCGGCTGGTGCGACTCTCGCGCCCGCTATCAGCTAGACATTTTCTGCCACTCTCTTGAACTGTGAAAACCCGCTCAGCACGATTCTCTACCTATGTTTTGCGGTTTTGCATTCGACGTTTTCTGGCCCCTCTTGACAGCTTCCGCTTACTTTTTCCGATGCATACTGCGTACCCTCTCTGTGTTATCGTCCACTGTGAGAAATAGGGCAGGTAAGTGCCTTCCATTCGAGCTTTTCTGCTCGACATTTTCGGGAAACGAAGGAGGGGAAGTAGGTCGAACCAAGGCCCCTGGTGGAACGGCCCTCGACGCGATTTTGCGAACAATGACAAGTGTTCTCCCCCTCCCAGAGATAATCCGCGTAGGGTCCTCAGTCATTTCCAAAAATAGTTGTCCGGGTTGGGGTGGGAAACAGATCAGTCGCGTGCGTTCCTCTGTCCATCGGTAAACATGCAACAGAGAGTTCTAGCTGAGTGCCATGAACTGTGTAAATAATGTAAATAATGGTATCTGTAAGGGGAAGTTATCAATAGCTCCTTTATATTTAAAAGTATTCAAAAGTAATGCAAAAGTAATGTCATTACTTTTAAAAGTAATTTGTAATGGTAATTAATTACTTTCTGGTTGTGGTAATTTGTAATGTAATTTAATTACATTTCAGCAATTTTCAGCCAAGTAATTAGTAATGTAATTTAATTACAAAATATGAGTAATTTGGCCAGCTCTGCAAAATGGGAATGGACAGTTGAACACGGAAACAGTTTT